AGGTTTCTAAAATGGCAACACCAGGGAAATGTGTGTGTGTGTGTTTGTCACTCTGAACTGAAAAAGTCCCAGCACTGTTTAATTATTATTATTTTAATCCCTGCACTTTCATTGACAGGAAACCCATTTAATCCTATTTTGGACATTATTTTTAGATGTTCAGAGATTTGGTTTTTCAAATCAGCCTATATTTGGAAATATTATTGTGGCTTCCATATCAAACCTTTGGAATTCCTGTTATGCTATTTAAAACTTATCCAAAGCTTAAAAGATTGACATTTCAAGATTATTTCCTCATCTGTTGGCTCTTATTGAATTTATTTAAGGAAATTGCATTTGACAGGACCAATTACAACACGTCTAATGGCTAAGTTATACTGAAACTGAAAAGTGAAATTTGACAGAGAGAGAGAGAGAGCCCATAAAAGGATATATCACAAGCTTAATTCTCATCCCAAGTGAAATTATACAAAATTTTGATAGAATTGTATGCATAATATCTTGGTTACTAATCATTTCTATAGAATGCCATGTTACAAAGAAAATCAGGTTCAAATCTCTACTCAGCCCCAAAGCTCTCAGGGTGACTTGTCACTATATCTCAACCTAACCTGCCCACACCTGCTTCTTGTGAAGCATGTATGCTGCCTTGAGCTCTTTAGAGGAAAGGCGGGCTGCACATACAGTAAACAACTAAAACAAGGCTCAGATTTGTATGACTTTATTGGAAAGTGCTATAGTGTGCAAGTCTGTTTATGAGCTTTCCATTGACATTTACTTGACATTTAGCCTTTGTTCTGATCCAGCAAGACTGTCTGATATTCGTATATTCTCAAGGGAAGTACAAATGACTGACAATCCCCTCAGCTCCAATCCAGCATAGTGGAGTAGGAGATGTATATTGTGCTCTAGGTGGCTTAGTTTGGGTTCCAGGCCTTTTAGACTCAACTACACATGATCTGAAACCAAAGGGGGACATTGGTTGCCAGGTGCAAAAAAAATAATTCAGCTTCCTTATCCCACTATTGCCACATTGGATCTAGATGAGACCTTACACACCAAACACTGGTTGTAGTATCTGACAAACAAACCCATCTTGTGTGTAGATCATTTCTTTACATCATATTTTCTTCTATTTGTTTTTGGGGGTTTTTTAATTACTATGCACAATTGATCAAACACTTGCTCCTGCACAATCCCCACTGGTTTGTGATTCAATGGGAGTAGAATTTATTGGATTATAAACAGGAAACACCAAAAAAAAAAAGCATTCTGTTACACTCAAACCCATTTATGCATATAATGTGCAGGGAGCTTTCAATTTGCCATGAAACTAAAATTAAATAGCTGGTTACTTTGACCCCAGTATAAAAATTGAATTACACAGCATTGTAAGCCTTGATGCCTGCAATGGGTACACTAATAAGTATGATTTGTATTTGTAAATCTTTTCTTCTGATGTAATGGGAACAACTACAGTATTGCATCACCCTATGTCAATGCTAACTAAATATATTTTTGCCAGTGACATTCATCAGCAACTCAACGCCATGAATTGAGTTGTCAATTCTCTATTTTGAGAAAAGGCTTTTGTTGTATAAAAAGTGCGTTCCTACTTCTAGAATAGGACCCACCAGTAGATCACTGTAAAAACTAAGGGTGAAACAGAATTCTGTAAACGTTTACATTTTGAAGACTTTTTGAAGTTGAGTTCTTAATTCTGAGCATTTACAAAGTTCACAACTAAAGGATACTTTTTAAAATGTAAAGGTTATATTTTGCTAATGAATGTTAAGGCAATAGTGTTAGTAATCATATTGCTAAGTTCACATAAATGTACTCTCCCACCTGTCAAGAAAATCCCTAAATCCAATAGTAGCCATAACTCAGGGAGGGAAAATCCAGTTGGGAAATGGACCATCTCCTAATTTTTGCAAGAAAACCAAGAAAACACCCCATTTTATGGATTAATTGTCTCTTGGAAGAGGCATCAAGGATGAAAAACACAGGACTGAATCTGTGGAATGAGGCTTTTCCTCCTTCTCCTTTAGCCACCTGCACGCCCCCAAAATCTTATCCAGAGGGACCCCCAACCTTCCCAAAAAAATTAAGGGGGTGCAGGGGGAAAGAAAGGAATGGGAAGTCCCATTGTGTGAGCAGAGATTTGCCACTGTCTTGTTGCATTCCACCCAAAATATGGCATGGGAGTTTGTTTGTTTGTTTGTTTGTTTTTGAGCTGGCAACCAAAGCTACAAAGGTGCCATGCCCCACTGAAATTTTATTGATCTGTCAAATTGCTAACTGGTTAGCGCAAGTGAGATTAAACAGGCTATCTACGCAAATATATTAAGAATGTAACCTGATATTTTAGACTTTCAGTTACTGCCTGAACAGATATAGCCTCACAAAGAGCTCCATCTGAAAATATTCCTCCCAGATGTGATTTCAGCAATGGTCCATCGTACATCGCGTTGATGAGTTACACTAAGGAAGCTAGAAAAGGCCAACATATCGGTTTTAAATTTCATATGAGGTTTTCACTTATGTCCACTTCAGGAAATGAATAGTGCATTCATAAATTGTGTTGGTTTTGTAGCAGTGGGCAGGCGGGGGGGGAGGGGGTATCCAGGAGATGAACCTTAGCATTTTGATTTAGCCCCAGAGTATTAAATTTCTTTAACACTTTACCACATTAGAATATGTTTTCCATCTCAACAAAGATGATGCAATATCATGAACTGGGGAGTATGGGGTGGGGAGAGAATTGGCAGGAGTGGTCTTCCATAACAAGCCATAAAAATTTATGATGCGCATAGTCCGATAATGGCACGCAATGAATTGAATATTTCCTTATGGATGCTATTTGAGAAGATATAGCATGTGAGGCTATCATAACACTTCAGTCAGTCTGCAATTGCTACTTTAAACTGTTTTCCTTTTTTACTGTCTACATAACATATTTTTTCAACAGTGTCAAAACTGGGTCTGACTTCATAGGGAGATGAAAAAGTACACTATTTTCCCACGTGAGTTGTATTTTCCACAGCAGTCCTTCTTACATTTTCTGTCTTGTTTGTTTTTAAATCCTTTTCTTCCCCACCTTCTATCTTTTTTTTTTGAGAGGGAAGCAATGGAGCTTTTATGCTAGCGAAGTTTCTGCCACCCTTCCAAATTTCAACGTTCATTTTTCTTCCATAGGAGCTTTTATAAGGTTAATTGCACTATAATTGGGGGGAATCATTCATGGACCAGGTCCTTTTCCATCCTTCAGATTTTGCAGAACCTCACACCTGTTTTTCTTAGGTTTGGGAGCTACACCAGTCTATAAATCCTTCTTTGTTTCCTGGTATAGTTTCTTATGAAATAAAACTCCTCCCTCCCCTTCTCTCTCCATTTGCCCAACTGTTTTCAATACTTACAGTCATGCCTGAAGTTGTCAATCAAGGAACAGCTTATCAGTCTGGGCTTTTCCTTTTTAAGCTTAAACGTGGTGACTTTGGAGACCTGTCAACACCCAGTTGCTTTTAGCCCTAACAATAAAGTCACACTCTATCTCCTACCTAGTAGCTTTAGATTAAATTCTGATGCCGTATACGTCATATTTACATAGTTAAAACTCATAACAAAGCAACCCACAGGCAATAGGATGTAATAACCATGCAACAGAGCCATTTCCTCTCTCCTTTTCTCTCTCATACTATGTTTTGTGTAGTTTATTGGATGTGAATGTTTTGAAAATGAAAATCATCTGGGGTGGGGGGAGTCCTCGCCAGGCGTGAGGTTTCAGAAGAATTCAACTGAAAGAATATATAGAGCTGTAAATACTCGGCCACCTCTGGTATTATAAAACAAAAAATGGGCTCAATTTTCCCTTTTATTTCCACAAGATGAATAGATTTTATTTTAGAGTGGGGGGGAGGGGGTTGGAAGCATGATTATATGCTCTGACAGTCTATTTTTAATATGTTTTATTCTGCTCGCATTAAAGGAGAACAATTAACTTGGAGTCAGAAAGCCTTAAACACCAGAGGTTTTACAGTTTTCGGTTTAAGGCACAAAGGACCTATTACAAATACAGTGCGATGTGAACTTTGCCCAAGGACTCTGTTTTAAAGACCAGGTCTCTCTGTAACACTTTTTAAAAACAACCCACTCAAGGGAATCTGACATTTTCTTGTCAGCATTTATAGGGCCAAGGAGCAGAGCCAATGAAAACAGCCATATGAAAAAAAAGGCTGTTACGTACCCCTCCCTCTTAATTGGTAAGCTACAGGTCGCATCGAGCCTTGAGTCTCAATCTAGAATCCAATGTGTACTTTAATGCACAGACAGAGTGTGTGTGCATGTACTTACGGGCTGCCCATAGGCTTCTGTTTGGTGTGAACATAATGAATCATAGAATCATAGAATCATAGAGTTGGAAGAGACCACAAGGGCCATCGAGTCCAACCCCCTGCCAAGCAGGAAACACCATCAGAGCACTCCTGACATATGGTTGTCAAGCCTCTGCTTAAAGACCTCCAAAGAAGGAGACTCCACCACACTCCTTGGCAGCAAATTCCTTGGCAGCAAATGCTGGACTAAATGGGTCTGTAGCCTGATCCAGCAGGGTTCGTAATGTTATTATGTGGACTGCTGGCCCATTCTCAGAATGAATAAGCTGCCATTGCAGGTCACCCTCTTTTCACTAAAATGAATGAAGACCTCGAAGACGGTGAATCTCAAGATGCAAATCAGAGCTCCCACAAGCAACCAGTGGATGAAGCTAAATGTCAATAAATACAGATATAAGTAAAGACTTGTTTGCATCAGTGGTGGACTATGGGCTCTCAAATTTCAGTGGCACCCTGTGCAACACTAAATTTGGTGCCTCCCGCTTCTTTTTCGCTCTGTTCTACAGCATGGTTGTGGTGCTCTCTGCAGTGTGGCACGCAGTGCGGCCCAAGCAGTCCTGCTACTCTAAAATTGCCTCTGTTTGCATGCTGTCTATTATATCTTGAAGGACTGTTGCTCCATGGTAGAGTGTCTGCTTTGGATGCAGAAGATCTGAGATCCAATACTCAGCATCTCTAGGAAGAGCTGGAAGAGACCCACATCTTCAAAACCTGAACAGATGCTGTCAGTCAATATCACCAATACTGAACTTGATGAACCAATGGCATGATCAGTATGACAGAAGGGGCAACATCATCCACCTGCTTGCACAATGGAGATTTGCTTGCACAACGGGTCTTCCAGGTTTTCTTCTTCCCTGTTGCACAAACTGATGCTCACACTATGTTGGTGCTCGCTGCTGGTCCCATATATGACTGAGTGTGAGGACTTTTTAAATTTTTTTTTACTGTGTTTATAAGAGTCCAACTGGTTAATTGTACTAGCCACACTGGATAAGCAGTACTGTTTTTTCTTCTATTTCTCCTAGGTATTTCAGTCTGAATGGATCATAAGATATGACTGCAACAAGGAATCTTCCTTCCTTCCTTCATTCATCCATCCATCTACACAGTGGAACATCCAGAGCTTTGGATTAAAACTAACAGCTGATTAAAGAATGATGTAACAGAATCCACACCAGTAGAACTGACATAGAAATCAACTGTGCAGTGACTGGGGAAATAGATCTGAAACCGAAATGCCTCATTTGGTTTCCCTACAAGGTGGAAACAGGAGTGAAGAAGCTCACAAAGTTTCCCCCCACCTAATCACAACTCTCCAGATCTGCCCATTAGAACCCACAGTGGAAATCTCCTCTCTCCCCTTTCCTTGTCTGCCAAATTGCTGAGATGAAGGAGAAGAAGACCATAACAGGCAGCTGGCCTGGAAAGAGAAGGGAAGCCCATTCTGAGTACACAGTTAAGCCTCCTCACAAGGGGAGCTAGGAGGCATTCCTGCTGCTTCTCCCATCCTGACGCAGACCCTGCCAAACTGTGCACTTTAGAATCCCCCCCCTTTTCTTAGATCTTAAACAAAGCCTGGTCTATAAGGTCAATTCCCCACACCAGAGTGTATGGCTCTTCTCCAAGCTTCTCCCTCTGTGTCCCCCTCCCCTCTTTCTTCCCTCTTCCATAATAGCTCATTGTTTTTCTTTCCTAGATGTGAATCCGTCCTACATCTGGGTGTTGGGTCTGATCTCTCTAAGCCATTCTTTCATTCATGCCAGGTGGCCTTTTTCTTCCTATGATCCCTGCTGAGCTCGATATACTGGGGGCTTCCTGGTCACTCGCCCTCTGCTCCTCCAGAACCCCTACTTAGTACCGAGCCTTTACAAGTGCACTTTTAGGAAATTAAGGCCATCTTAGCCTTCTTCTCTCAGCCTGTTTATGCTTCCCTGGCTACGCAGCCAAAGGTTGACTTTGTTAGATTCATTCACTTAGCTTCTGGAGTGAATGTTGGTCTCTGTTTCAGGCAGAGAAAGTAAGAAAACCTTGGTATTTTTTAACATATGGGGTCATAATGTGCAACGTATGCAGCCGCATGTGTAATGGAAATACATGCATATGTTTGCTATGGTGGTGATTGCCTCAGATCACACCATTATGCGCCAGAGCACCATCTGTCTTGTCAATGTTTCCCATTTGTTGGGCTCAGTAATGTTTTCTTCTTCTTCTTCTTCTTCTTCTTCTTCTTCTTCTTCTTCTTCTTCTTCTCCTCCTAGCAATCAGCTAAGTGAAATTCCTTGCTTCATATCAGCAGCATCCCCAAATGTTCCATTGGGTGCTACTCTGGTCCTGTTTGAGGAGGCTGGATGGGGAGGAGAAAACAACAAGACCCAGGAAGGAACACCTGATTTATTCCTCCAAAGGGAATGACACACCCGCAATTCATGGATTCACATTTAACTACCACGAAGCTCTTTTGTTGATTCATTGCATCAGCTGTTGATTGAAGGTGACTGCCCTTGTTAAAGTGAGTCAACACATGTCAGAATACAGCATGGCAGGTCTGGGTTCAGACTTCTTTTGAGATGATTTCCAGGAGGTGTTTTGTCACTTGCTTTCCCTCTCTCAGCCCATGTTAAAGAAGCAACGGCCAAACCACATCTGCGACTAGGGATGGGAATTCAATTCAGTTTGCGTTTAAAGTCAAATCGATCAAATTTGCACTTCTCTGAAACAATATGAGAACGGAAACACGGCCAACCTTCAAAAGCTGCATGTTTCCGAATTTTGTAGTGCAGTTCTCTAGCAAAGCAATGTTTACAAAAATGCATACACTGGGGGAAAGTATGCAAAAAAATGAATGTGTTAGTGAAAATAACATGCAGTAATACATTATGTTAGGTTAATGTGCTTGCAAAAATGTGTACATTAAGTCAAAAATGCATGCAGAAATGCGCTTATTATTCACACTAAAATGATGATGAATCCACAAATTGCAGCAGAAATATGGAGAACTGAATTCAAGATAGGAAAAATGAGAAATTGAGAGAACAGCAACTGACAGAGCCTTCTTTCTGTATCTGCAACCCATGTAGAAAAAGAAACTGATGCAAACCTCAATTGGCTGAATGTTGATCACATGGATAATTCCTCATGGTTCCACAAAAAATGTCAAATTCAATTGGACTTGACCTACCTGAGGCCGTTTTCCCAAAATGTTTGTAGAAAAATTAAACTTTCAATGCTGAGAAAAATATAAAGAATTACATCTGTCTTTAATTATGGCCGATTCAGAAATTACTCTGGGTTTCATTTTGCTATTCATTTCCCAAAATGTTCCTAGTATAGATTTGAGAGCACTGAGGAGCACAGAAGACAGCTGGGAAATAGGGGGAAAGAGGGCTTTATTGAGCCCTGTGGGGAGGTCTCATTGTGAAAGATTGAGAATGAATAGGGTTCTTTTATTGACCAGCCACCACTTTTCTTGTAATTTCAACATAAAATATGATGGACACCAGCTTGATATTCATTGATAGCAGCAGCTTGACATTGTTAGTTGGCTAATGTTCCTCCTCCCCTCATTTAACTCTTTCTTTTGAGTAGTTTTTAACAGTACAATCTTAAACACGTCAACTCAGAATTATGTCCTATTGCATTCAGTGGGTGTTACCCCCAGGTAAGTTGGGTTAGAAGGTGACATACATTAGAAAGCTTTTAAAAGTGTTGTTGGGGAGAAATAGTATGGGGGAAATACTGTTGGACCTATGGACACTGTGGTTACTGAAAACAGACAAGTTGCTTGAGCAGAAGGATAGCCAATTTCAATTTCCCAGCAGCGATTGCTACCAAATGAAATGCTTCTTCTTATAGGCAATCTGTGCAGCAAAGGATTGTGTATCATTGCCCCTACTGTACACCACAGCTGAAATACAGCATTCATTTCAGGTAGCCAGAATTCCATCCATTCACATCACAGTTCATGATATCAGTGCACAAGAGCCCATAGGTTCTAGAGGACCCACCAGACTTAGAAATCTTACTATATTGTCCTAAATAATTTTTACAAAAGTTGTGGGTTTTACAGTAATCTCAATTTGTTTTCACTTTTCCTCTCTGATAATATTCTAATATAACTTTGTCATGTCAATTACTATTATGCATAAAATGCATTTGCATTTTATATACATTGCTTAATTAATTTTATTCTTCTCACAATAGGTTTTTATCTCCAGTCAGAAGGTATACAACTGGATACGTGAGTATAATCAAACTAAATTGGAATGGGTTCAAAATGAATTTTGCACAAGGTTCCAAAATGAAGCGTTGCTCCCACTAGTCCTGACTTTTTGTTCCTCTTATTTAGCTTGACATTATTACTTACAAAATATGTATAGAAACAAAGTGTCTTCAGAAAGCTATAACACAAGTCTAATACTTGTCTCCTATTAACAAAATATTTTTGAAAATTGATATAAAACAACAAGGGTACGGGACATGCAGTGAAAATGAAACTTACGTTCAGGAAGGCAGCCTTCATGGCAATGTTTCCATTTCATTCCTTATTTTTGTCAGATTTCTAATTTGTTTTTGTGTATGTGTGTAATATATGTAAAAATTAGATGATGATGAGCAAACTCTATACAGAAGATTAATTTTAAATCTCTTGACTTTCTTCTACACACACATCTGTTAGGGAGAGTAATATGTTCAGTCAATAAAGGGAAGATAGCAGAGAATCCCATTACAAAATAGCTGACATAGTGCGTTGATTCCAGAGAATTTAGGGCTGTGAATGAGGCCCTTTGATGTTTTTTATTAGATCATTTTCTTAATGATACACAGGGCAGGTTTCCATTTATGATGGCTCCTACGCAAACACCTCAGGAGGAGCCCATGTGGGCTTCTGCTGAGCTCACAGCTGGGCTCCAGTCATGTGGAGACATCATTTGTGAGGAACAATGCCTCTCCGAGAGGGCTATCGACTTAGCAGCACATATCACTCCCACATAGGGAAACCTGTTCTCATAAAACAATACCTCCACATTCCCGATAGAGGGTGTTATCCAAGATTAGTTCTACTCCAAGCCACTAAAATCAGTGGACCAACTCCGAAGTACAACTCACTTGGATAGAGTACAGATATCCTGTTGATAGGAATGGGCAAATCTATTAGTTTCAGTTTTTCTTTTTTAACTGCTTGAGTGCAGCTCTCCACATTTCCATATCAGATTGCATTTTTTAAAGTCCTCATGAAAATTAACTGGTAAATTTCCCCTCCTTTCCAGTAGTGAGTGCCAACAGGATTGGAGCCAAAACAGGACCACTGGGAAATGTGTGAGAGAGACCAGTGTGCATGGGGAACTCCAAACTGTGCAGAAGTTATACCATTTAAAAAAAATATTGTTTGTGTTTTAATGAGAACATTCTTGATCCAATGTGCAAATAGAAACACAGCTATCCTTAGAAACGCCCATTTATTTGAATTTTTCAATGCAGTTCTCCATCAAGGTTATGTGTACAAAAATGCATATACTAGTGCAAAGGGTGCATATAACTGCATATATTAGTGAAAATAGCATGCATAAATGCATTACATTACAGAAAACTGCATGTCAAAATGTGTTTATAGGAAGAAATTCACACTAAAATCCTAATGAATTTTCTTGAGATGTTTCTTTAAAAAAAAATCACAA